TACTGGCCAAAGCCCGATCCGCAAGGCTACGGTAAGGTGCGTGAAACTTGCAATCCATTGGGGATCGGTGTGTGATTCACCAGATCATATGCCCTTTGGACGAGGTCAAACGTCCAAGATGCCCAATACACCTTGATACCTAATCCGGCTGGTGATCACTACCACAACCAAGGCGTGCGTATGTTTCGTACACCTTTTCTTGTTTGGTTTAAAATCAAGGATTTTAGCCAACTTTCCCACATAATTTGCCGGTGGTTCGTTGACCCGTTAATAGCCCAGGATGTAGGAAAAACCGCCTTTGGGAGGCGGTGCGTAGGGCTTCCTCAGCTATTTGAGACACTTGTTTGTATGGTAACTTGCCGCGAGGTGCAAGAGAAGAGTAACTCGCCACAATCCGAGGCTATATTGATGCTTTTGAGGGCCATTCCTCAGGGTACCGAAGAACCAAATGAAACACGGTCTGGGTTTATCCGGATAAATGATACATCTAGCGTCCACCGCCAATTAATATGATCGGCATAAACCGAAATGCATCGATTCACGAACTACTGCAACCGCTTGTATCATGCTACAATTATGGATGCTGCGGTGTGTTCACCTGAATCTCTTAACTTATGGCGGTGAAATAAACTAAACCAGTCGTCGAATAAAGAACCCGGCAGCACAGTGTTACACAATTTATTTTCCGAAAAATTTTGCCGTTTCTCTTACATACTACAGTCGGAAAAATAGAATCGAAACCAACAAGTACCAGATACCATGCGTAAACTATTGGTGTTAAGTTCGTCCATCTTTCTACCAAGGTATGGCTAAAGTTACGAAAAACTCCTGCTTGCACAGTTCTGGCTTCCATCGTTTTATAGCAATCACCTCTCTAAGCAGAAGCAATCGAGATTCTTGTCTGATGGGAACACTTGAAGACCGTGATTAAGTTCGCTTAACGTCCAGTCTTTAACACGTGACGAGCGAACGATGACACTGGCGTGCGGCGCTGGGTGGACTTTTGACCTTGATTATTCGAGTGTGATCCGTTCACCGGCTTATTAATCCATACTGGGGTGTGTTTGTTGCAATAGACCACTCTAGACATATTGCCCGTAAATTTTCAAATTGTAATTGGTTCGGTGGGAAGCTTGGTTTCCATCGGATATTAGATTGACCGACAGACCGTTACTGCAGTATGATGTAAGATGCTGCCGCTAACTGCAGTAATAGAATATAAGGACGACCTGTACGGTCCAAGCGCACCCTACGTTTATGGTTTGTATACGTAAAACCGAAATCGAGTGATCATTCTCGAACGTTCCTGTGTGGATCTCGGTAAGGGTAGGACGATAATCGATGTTTGACGATAAGTTTAAAGCTAGCAATACGGTCAGCTAAGGGCAAAAAATGGGTCACACCCACAGCCGGTTGTCAAGTTTGCAACCATTCAAACTTTGCCTTGTCGATGATGTCCAGTCGTTTCAAATAAACACTTAGCGACCTCTTTCTCTGCGCTCGCTTCGACCCAGAGCGATATTTTTCTCGGAATTTAAGCTTTGCTACCTACCACCAGAATAGTTCAGACGTGGCAGGTTTCGAACCTTGAACCTTTCACTTTTTCCGTTTGGTCCTGTTTCGTTGGGTCAAATTCATGTTCCCCTGGATCACTTTTTCTTGTGTGACCATGACAAACATAATCAACTACGGTGCCATATCGTTTGCAAAATATTCATATTTTCGGCCAACGGGTTTTAAATGGTGCGTAATGACTCTGTCCCCCAGCCCAGTATCACATTTGTGATCTAGAATTTCCTCCAAGTCATCCAAATGAGTTTTACAAGCCCTCGTGTCCCAACTAAATGGAATAATGACTGAACATTTCACTGCTGCTTTCACCTTGAGTTGCCTTGAAATCTTTAAACGGGTTACATTGATATCGACTATCTGTTTGCGCATTGATCGAAAACAAACCAAGCTACTAACCATTGGTTAGTGTGTCACAGTATATGGGTGTTTGCACCCTACAATTAACCACTCACATAATTAGGCGGTGGTGGCCAAGTTGTTAGGTCACCAACTTGTGACCTAGGAGTCCCGGGTTCGAACCGCTCTACCGCCGCCCGTCTTCTCAGGCAGCCTTTGTATGGCCGCGGCCCCCTTTCTGAATGTTGACTGTACATTTGTGTATTTAATAAATAAAAAGGAAGTAAAAAAGACCATTATTATTGTAACGCTCTCTCTCGGTCGTCGATTGTCCCTCTCAGTAAATTGGCTTAGTATCAACTCCACCATAACATCCCCGGGGGCAGTGTTCGCTTTTGAGTCGATCAATTTCAGCTTTGCTGTTGTCATGTTTCATGTGGGTTCAAAAAACGCGACTGAAAGTGATGGAGTTCGAGGATGGACACCGGCATAGGATACCATGTCAGTATTGCAGATAATATACGTAAATGTGTGATGCGATCTCCAGACCTTCGCGTGCATTGTTCCTCAGTTAGAGCTGAAAGATTTGAGCTTTCATAGAGTCGCTCTCACCTTGCTGCACCAAGGCAGAAATCCAGGGCGACTACGAANCGCATACCACTTTTTTCAAAAGGAAGCAGGGTAATTTCTGAGTTAGTTCCAAAAAGTGTTCCATGACGACACACGTGCATGGGGATTTCTTTATGGAATAGGTAAGAAAAAGGTTGATGTTCCAACGTTTCAGTTTACTTCACTCACTTTTTTTATTGTTATCCGCCTGAGAGAACCTTCTGAAAACTAGCCGCCCCTCCCCACAGCGTGCTGCTTCCCGTTTTCTTTGAACCTAAACGTATTATCCACTCGACAAGTGTGGTCTGTTATTTCTTAGTAACATTAAATTGTTTTCCGTGCCTTGGACCGCTAAGTGTTTCCCTAACTTTAAAACAGCGGTAACGTAAATTCAACCGCAGTTGCATCAGCGAGACGGAGAAACACGGTACCTGAGTATAACCAGTTCGCAATTGTCCGTCATTGCCCCTTTCATGATCCACCGAAGGACAGTCGGTGCACGCACGTGATCTGCTTGTAGAGGTGCTTGGTGCAAATTTTGCCCGGTGTTCTCTTTTTAAATACAACTGAGTCAGTAGAAGCCTAAAATACGTCAGTGAAGACAGTTGGAGAACACGAGCTGCAAGTTGACAGCGCAACAAATCGAACTTTCTCTATCGAGAAAATGACAGGCAAGCAAACGTTTGCCAGACTGCACAACAACGGGATGAGCAAGTTTTAAATGCCGGTGAAACGCAAACCAAGTGCACCTCTGAACGTGCCCGACGCAAAGTACCAAGCACCATGTTTGAGGCCGTGCCGGTGACCCTGGAGCAGTGAAGTTACTCTCAAGATGGCAAATTCCATGTAGAATAAGGAAAAAAATTCTGAAGAACATGTTTCAGGAAAAAAGAGTGACAGCAGGTGTGTGTATCAAAGTAAACCCGATAGATGGCATGAGGACAAAAACCGTACACCACAGAGCCGTCACAAATCAAACTTCTGGTCAGTTATTTTAAATGGTGCACTAAACCAACCGAGATGCTCGACCGGAAACAGATTCGTCCAAGTTTTCGGAAAAGGGACGTCATTACGCGATGATGCAGAGATTTCACCGGGAGGAGTGTTGTGAGCTGCTACTCACTTTTATGAGTAATATGCAAAACATTGAGGTTGGTGGTTTCCTTCAACAATCAAGAATTAACAAGACTACCGAGGGCAAATTACGGTCTCAAAAAATAATTGCCGACTGCATCATTCATTACCCGGAGAGCTGCCGGGAACTGCGATAATGTTTCAGATGAGATTTCTGTTATATGTATGCTAAATTAGTGATGTCCTAACTGTAATTTGCAGTAAACAACATTCCTCTACCGAGTATCGCTTTGTGGAATTATAACAATATAACGAATGAGACCGTAATTTACCCTCGGTAGTCTTGTTAATTGTTGATCGTTGAAGGAAACCACCAACCTCAATGTTTAACGGACGAAACACCAATCATCTTGTGGGGTTCCCATGCAATGCGATAGGTTGGATTCACTTGAATTTGAAAAGGTATGGTGTTGTTTGATACAATTCACTTTGTGAGCATTTCGCAAAAAGATGCGGTTAGCAGTTTCTTTCAGCGGTCAGAATTGAGTAAGACCTGTTGGAGCGAATAGCTAGTGTTCATTACGGTAACTACAAGAATGCGCATCTAATAGTTGACCGTTCCATTAATCATCCTGTGTGTGTCTGCCATGGAAAAGATCGCGCGCCGGACGGGATGGTAGATATGCACTACTGATGAGCTCAGTTAAGGGCGAAACTCGAGTCTAGTGCTTCCGAGTGTATGGTTGATTGGAAGAGTATAGGGATTTGCGTGAAGGTGAAGTCTGAATGATGGTCAGTTCTAATCAATTAAACAAACTAATTCCTCTGTGGCTTTCACAAGAGCACCTGTCTCCTTTCAGTAAGAATGCCAACTCAAGCCATTCTGCTTACGTTTTCATTTGAGGACTTGGAGGCGAGGTCGAAGCGTGTTGTTCTATCGAATTACGATATTCGGAATCCTGGCTCATGACCTTGACACTCGGAACCACGCTGAAAAAATACCGGCTCCACTGAATTGTCGAGCAAAGGAAAGAAGGCTGTGATAGACACACGGAGACAAAGTTGTGAATGCTTTACTGATAAGTTAATTTAGAGGTACGTCAACTGCTACACAATCACGCCAAGGCACAGAAACATAAATGGATTATTATTTATTGTGTAGGTGATTTCGGGACTGGTATGCGAATTAGATGTGAGACTTAAAGTGATCGATTGAGTGAAATCGGACGACAACACCGAATGAGTTTATCGATGATACTGTCTAGGCATCGCCGTAAGACAGGAGCAAATGCAATAAATGGAGTCTGGAACAGTGAGTTTTGCTGATGAGAACTTGACTGTGGACATCAAATATGCACGAAAATAATCGCGTCCTGTTTGGCTCAAGTTGCCCGCGTCTGTAATCCAATCTATTCGCCAGCGAAACCGGCGTTCTCATACTCGAACGGTACAACTGTCCCTTCTACTTGCATTTTTGGCTCATCTTCGCCTGCGATTGCGGTAAATTCGTAANCGTAAGCGGTCTGATGATCTTTCAGGCTGCTTCCCACGTCAATTTCTGTTTCAATCTCTTCCTCATCACCAATTTCATCTTTGCGTCCACCGTTGCAGCAACGCGCTATATATTTGATCTTTGCTATCAGTTCGGCTTGCAATAGATTGATACACATAGAGACCAGAGCCAAACCAAAAATCAGGTAGAGTGCTCCAATTACCAGTTCCAAAGTGGTTCCAGCCTGAATACAGAAGAGGGAGGGGGGAGGGGAGATCGCATAGGAAACAATGAATATGAAAAACAGGCGGAGCGATAACAGAATCACCATGATTCACTCGCCGATTATATTTATTGTGCAGTAAATAAATAAAAAATACGACTAGTTTACTGTTATTAAACGCGTTTCGATTCAGTTCTTTTTATCCGGTTTCTTTTGTGAACATTTTTTTGCATTCTCCAATTGAACTTTTACACAAATAATCTGATTGAGAAATCCTACCCAGTTGAAGCTTCACATATGTCGGTATTAGGAGGGAGGTGTTTTATTTCTTCATACAAGCATAACTACATTGTTTTTCAATTCGTTTCGTGTTTCATTTGTGATAAGCGTGTCTTGGGATGGGGTTGACTGTTCAAGATCCGCAAACTTGTCAACTTAAATGAATCAAACATGAGCTGTAAAATTGTCAAACACTTTTGCTTTTATTTTTCCGGGTATTCTTCCCATCGGGTTTGAATGAAATCCTTGAAAGCGGATCGCCGATCAGATTGAGTTTTTATTTACCCATAAACGATGCAGTACCACTTAACTTGGCACCCAACTCCAGAATCTGAGACCCGATCGGAAATATTCTGAATCTAAATGTTGGGCAAAAGTGAATATTGGGGAATAGACTGGAGTTAAGATATGCGTTCGTCGGGATTGTCATTTAAATAATTTCATTTGCTGGCGTTTACTGTGATTCAGTCAATGTGAGAGATCACCTAACTTCTGGTCGATTGAAGTTGACTTCTGACTACTGGAGACTTTTCGGGAAGGACGAAAAGACTGGATTTTATCACATCATAGAAGAACCATTCCCCTCTGGTAGGCTGGGGATTGGTAATTCGCACATGGCCACGAAAGGATAGATCATCACGATAATACCTTGGACCACTACATGATACTGTACTATTGCGTCCAGTACAATCAACCACCCAGTAGAGAAATTGCTCAGGTCACCCAGTGTAAATGATATGGGGTGAGACAAATGCACCAGCGAATCTGCATCTCACACACCCAAACTGAACTTAATTTGCATTCACTCGGTCTGAGTGTCTACCAATTCGGTTAAATCATTTGCAAACACGAGTTCAGTTTAAAAATGTACACGACCCGTTGAGTGACTTGTTTTGTACATCNAATTACGGTGCGTCATGGATGAAACCGGCTACTATTTCCCACTACTAATTCCCGAAACCGGGAGAACAGTAGTTCTGCTTAACATCAGTACAGACCACAAAAAATTAAAACGATGTCCAATTTAATATTCCCGAAGACTGATAAAGGTTTCGATGCGGTGACTAGGCTGAACAACACATACAAGATTATAGTGAATCGAATACTGATGGACAAGGGCCGTAGTCATCTTATGGAATGCTTAGTTATCTACGAGAGGGGGGGCTACAAATTATTTTATTGAATGACTGTATGCAAGGGGAAAGATTATATTGACTTAAACTGACCATCTTTCAGACTCTGCCTTCAAGCAAAATCCTCAATTCATCCAGTCCGTCATACATTTGGGGAGTTCTGTAGATTCGAGTTTCCCTTTTTCACTCAGATGTCATTAGTAGTGCGTATCCACCACTCCCTCTGAGCTTTGAACTCCAGACCCATGGCATGGAATGCGTGTATGATACCGACCAGGGACTGACCAGAATGGCCAATTGATGGTGTTCAGTCGTCGCTTTTGGTATAATCACTCATTAGTTGGCCGATAACAACGAAAGCTGGTTAACACAAGGAGTGACACGCGCACACCTTTCATGCGATTGGTCCAAAGTGCGAATTCTCTATGGGACGGTAGATAGGCACTTCTAATCAGTTCTAACGGAAAAAATCAGTCTAGTGCTTTCCGAGTGTGAGGTGAACTGGATAAACTGGGGATTTAGCGTGAAAATGAAATCTGAACGATGGTCAGTTAAAATCAAATGGCTACATCGCTTAAACCCAATCCAGTCGGAGCGGAAACAAGTATGATCGGGATTCGTGGTGGACATGACATGAAAGTTAACTCGTGTCGGATTTAGATAGATTCAAGCCCCTTTCCCTTTGACCACTCGATCATTCATATCTTGCCATTTCTTGTTTTTATCCAGTCTGTTCATACGGACTGCTTTGTTCCAGTGCCTCTCTACTCTGCCTAGTCCAATAGGGCTACTACCTTAGTCCATTTCAGTAATAATAGTCTCTCCTCAGTTTCTACTTCCCTGTTACTTGTGCAACTTGATTATACAGAAGTTCCAGTCAAACGTTAGTCATTGTACGGTATTTGTGAAAATTTCTGTCCGGAACAACTGGATTATTTCAACTCCGAAAACATCCGATTAAATTGAAATCGGACGGTGTTACGCGATGAAATAAAATGGATTCATCGCTGGTTTTATGCTCAATGTGCACTAAGTATTCGCATACATGTAAAAAACCTATTCCGGAAGTGAACGACGTAAAACGAAAAATACCTTTTCAAGCAGTTAGAATTGATTAGAAATAATTCCGCTGTTTGAATCACCGTCTCAAACATACCGGTTAGGATGCTATCGGGAATCCCTCACTGTAGGTTTTTCTGTACACCTATGCACACGTCGTCTCCATGTCATGTGTTAGATGTGCTATTCTATCGTTCCGTCATTGCCGGGAAGAAACAACGTCCCATTTCACTATGAAACTTAAGAATCGCTTGACTCTCACATTTGGCAGAAAAATTGCAAAGGAAAAAATTTGCGATGCTCATTTATTCTAATGAATGGGGGCAGTGGAGATATCAGTTGTCCAAATCGGCTTTCGCTAATACCGAACGTGTTTACCTGAACTATCGCCCCGATGTTCAATAGCTTCGATGTTCGCTTCTGTTGTTTTTTCCATTTGGTATAGGTCTACCTGAAAACTGGTGTAGAATTTCCGTAATACGACTGTATTTCGAGGGATATCATTCTTTGTAAATCCGGTAGTCGACTAGGGCAACAGACGGTTGGTTCCTATGGGAACCGTTCGGGACTCACATTGGACTATACAATGGTAGAATAAACTAATCATTGAGATTGGTTGCTTAATGTATGTCCAAGTGGAGGGACGTTTATGATTCATTGTTTGATAATCCATACAGATTCACCACTTGTGACCTATCGTGTTGTCAGCGTTTGACTTCATGAATAGCACCATGCTATTGGTTGTTTTCTTTCAGAGGGTTTAATGCTCGGTTCGTTGCAATGTAAAGGATTATAACTGATCTACACGACCATCAAGGTAGACGATTTCATACACACAGTTTCCATTTCACTTGTGGTAACCATAGTTAGACCGGAGGAAGGTGTCTACGGTTTTTTCAAACTGTGATAATTCATTTTTATTCATTTGATAATCGTTGGTAATCAAACTCACTACATCTGTAATTAATCTGACCACGTGATATATTTACCATCATCGACATTAGCATTTGCACGACCTGCTTCAAAAGCAATAACCAGTCTGAATCCAGGAGTAGTGAAGTTGTTCAAATCGCCTGAAATCATAATTTACCCAGTTTCCATTAACTCAAACAGTCCGTAAATAGAACAAATTTATCTGCTCATCGGGCACCATTGATCGATTCGTGATAATCAAGATCTGACTCACATTATTTATCAAAGTCACATGAATTTTTGCTTATCTAACTTGGGTTGGAAGTACGCAAAAGGTACGCAATCCGATGTTGGATTTTTCCACAAGAATCAATCAGAAAGGTGCATCTAAATTGACCGTGTAAGGAAACTTACCTCGGTCAAGCGTCCCATGCCTGGGACCAAATCTCCGAGCCCGATGGTGGCAATTGTGATGAACGAGAAGTACGCCGAATCGACCAGACTCCATTCTTCCCATTGTGGGAACAGAACTGCTCCGATCATTGTGTATCCGGCGAGCACAAAAATGCTCACCGTCAAAGGGACCGCCACTATGTTCTCGCGGTAAAAATCGGACTCCTCAAAATCGTCCTCGTTCTCATCTACCGCGGCTGGTTGAACCTATTGTAGTTTGGATTTGGAAAATAATGGATCATGAGTGAAAAAATTGAGTACATGGGAGCATTGAAAAGATTTCTGTTAAATCGGTCTGACCGTAGAGGCAATGACGATAATTTTGTTGGAATGACACGCATCTTCATTCAAGAGGTCGGTTAACAGCTTCACCAATTTATCTAATAGCCCCAATTTACGTGTTCTAATTAACTTTTCTGGGCAAGAAGGAGGACAAGCGTTGCGTTAGATTCCACTCCAACAAAGTTAAATTTTGCTATGCTTTTCGCGAAACGACAATCATAACAGTATTCAGGATCATGCTTGCTCGATCAGTTAACTGCAGGATCGGAAAACGTCTGAGATTCTGCAGTCTTCTTTTGTCACTGCATAATTCACTACTGAAATGCTTATCAGTAATCAGTGTAGATACGCATCAAACGTTTTTACTGATGGGTAGTTTAATCCCACGGATGTCCCTCAGTAACTGGCACACTCCCCCCCTCCGTTAGAGTTTATCGTAAATCATATAAGATGACGCAATTCAGATGATGCCATCAAGAAAAAGATGCTATAAAAATGAAAATTATTTAATTGAATTCGCAGAAGAAGGTTTGTCTAATTTTTTAACAGAACAATCGAAATCTCCGAAGTTGTGAGAATGGAGAAAATGTTATTCTGGCCTTTTGATGGATGAATTGCTCACGTCTCCTGACAAAGATATTGCTTGCATTCTGTTGCTTCAAATAAGTTTTCCATTTGTTATTTCCGACCAAGCTTGCACGCCTAGCTTCTACAGCATTTGGATAATCGGGTTGGATGCGTTATTTTCAATAAAATGGTGAAATGCTGACGTTCGGTGCTTTCACAAGGTGGCGTCTAAATTCTCTAAAAATGTTTTTTATCAGTGCTGCGTCGTAAAATAGGTGCTGATTAAAATAAATCAAATGGTCGTTTTGTACTATTATACATACCATGTGAATCACACTACCCGACGCTGACAAATCCGAATTATAATAAAAAAACCTTAGGTCATGAAATTTTCCGGTCTCAAGTTCAACGGATTATTTTCCACATAGCAGCAAAAGGACATGAACACTTAAAACACAATTACAAGCAATCTCCGCTCTCTTCTCCCCGCATGAAAATTTTATTCTAACAATACTAATGTTTCCGTTGCCAATGTGTTCGGGTTACTGTGACGGATGAATGGAGTCCTATCATTCCGTCTAAAGTGATAAGCAAAAAAGGCATGTTATTTGGCTGTGCACAGAAATAATTAGGTTATTCTGGTGATATGGTTAGTTGTCATGGGAGCCGGCGAGAGAGAGGCAGAAGTGGTCCGTTTCCAAAGAACAATAGACGCATTATTATTTATTACGTGTTTACGATTATCAATTTGTATATCAGGAGTTCTTTTCTTTTCTTTTTGTACAAACCCCCGCGTTCCTGTGTGTGCGTGGAGAGAGAGGGAGAGGAATGATTGCCATTCGAANTCGAATGCTGTTTCCCGTCGACTTATCACCCTACATATAACCGACCATGATGAGCATAATGCACAAATATGTCGAGCAAATCATATACGCACACATTCATATATTGGTAAGAAAATTGATGCTCAATGTTCCGTGCATGGGCACAAATTAAGCACAAATTAAGTTCATTTGAACTGACTTAGTTCAAATGAACTGTTACTAGATTAGTTTCCAAACTGCTTCCAGTTGTGGAAACTGTACACGAGATAAGCAAATTTATATTTCAAGTTGCTCACACGGTTTTAACCGAACCCTTAAAAGGACAGTGGCCCACGGTGTTTCCTGCGGTTACTTAATCTTCATTTCTTGGATTTTGACGTCCATTCGAAGTGTTTGGATCTCGATATCAACCTGTCAGCGATTAGTAAAAAATACGTCTCAGCAACGTAAATGTGGGTGAATTAAAATTACTTATGAGGGTGAGCGAAATCTATGGGTGCAATATGTCGTTACTTCATTCGCTGATGGCGTAAAAGGTGCACATCGTTTTAGTGACTTGGTAAGGCCTAATTGCAGCGTTATGAGGGTTTTCACGTGATCGAACGGATTAATGAGTCAATGACTCACCGGTGTCCCTTGTTGGTTAACTGACCCTGTCCAACCCCAATGCCGCCCTCCTGCATCAATCTCGATGAGTTACTCTAGAACCGGATAAACGCACTTCTTGGTTATTGGTTCTAATTCTAAAGCTAGTTACTACAAAGGTTCAAATCCGTGGGGGAATGCTGAAAAACTAGCTGAATAATTAAAGGGAAAGACTAGCGTTGCGGCGTACTCCACAGATAAAAAGTGTTCTGAAAAAGGGATTTCGTCAGTATTTAGTACATTCACCACTATTATCAATAAATGCACCTGAAATGTTAACTAGTATACATCCATATTGATCGATGTAAGTGTGTGAACCCTTCCATAGTTCTACCACCGAATTGTTTTGCATTGAATCTTTCATAATTGAAGCAAACAGTTTCTTGCTTGTTTGTGTATGATATGAGCTTTTTAGCTCATGAATAGAGTTGTTCTTCATGAAGAGGTGTTAGAGCAATTTCGATTTCGCTTTTCCTCTCATGTCATTCACGGCTTAGGTCTAAACGTTCTTTGTGATGTTCCACTTGGAAATGCTGGTTCCGGTCGAAGATCGACCGTCGACGTATGGTATGGGTTTTAGAGGTTGAACGGAGCAATCCGCGTTCTCTCGATTTAGTTGTCTTTTTCAGACAACCCATTCGCTTTTTAGGTGTACCTCGCTTGTTCCATTCCGGATTTCGTAGAGCAACGTTTCCCAAAGCCTTAAATTGCCTGGCCCAGTCATTCCAGCTGAGTCCGGTTCCCTAGGGTGGAACTAGCGTGAATGACCGTCATCTGTAGAGTTTGAACTACTATGGTGTGTCACTTATTAGAGTACACATGAATGAACTGACTGACTATCTCTGAAGAAGATTTCTGAACAAATGTAAATTGACAATCCGGTTTGGTCCTGGCGTGAGATGGTTGGCATAGTGGTAACACACAAGCCTTCCATATGATGGGTCTGGAGTTCAGATCCCAGACGGGACGGTGGATATGCACAACTGATAAGCTCCAATAAGAGCGAAACTTCCGGGTGTATGCTTGACTGGGCGAGTTTAGAAATGTGCGTGAAGATAAAACATGGAGGATGGTCAGTTCGAATCAATCAACACAGAATTCACCTGATTCCGGTTCTTTTTGGTTTGTCAGCCCACTAACTCACAGACCGAACTGATCAGCTTCTTGCCAGGCTTCTTGCCCCATCCCATCTTGTGAAATCTGATTCGAAAAGCAATGCAAAAAAGGGGGGGGTCCCATACGTGCAATGCCCACTTTTCCTTTGCATTTTCTGCTTCAGTTAGCAAGGAATACATAATTTCGTCTCGGAATTTACTAGACTCTGTTGAACGATGCACTGGAATCCTCTGATCCTAAGTGTTATGTTTTGTGAATACAAAATCGGAAAAGAACAATGAGGGTTCTACGATTTTGTCGCTCAGTATATTTCATTAGTGCAAAGAATAACCATAGTATCAGCTGAAATCATTTTTCTCGCCAAATGAAATCAGTAAAAACTGATTGAAAAGCAATCCAAAATTAATGAACATCAGACAACAGAGTGATCTTTTTCACACTCACCTCGACAACTATTATTCACGCTGGAGATATACGTTGGCGTTTTAAACATTTTATTTGACTTTTTGAACGCAAACCTTGAAACGTGGCTTTCAGTCTCAAAATCACAAACCCAAACCTCGTGGAACTTTGCTCAGCGCGATCTGTCAGGGTCAAACAGTTTTACCTCTCATGGGCTATTTCTGATTTTCCAGACTAATCAAAATGGAATTGCAAATTGGGCGAATTGAACTTCACGGTCGGTGGATGAACCGCAGAAGAATAACACACTTGGTGTTCGATTTCGTTTTGCAAATTTAGTTTTCGATTCAATATTTCCGGGAATCTATCATTGCAAGCTTTCATCTTTTCACTTCGGACGACCCAGAATTATTTCAAGTAGTAGTCACGAAATTCATTCACGTTGTCCTATTAATGAAACAAGACGATGATTTGATCATTGCTAAGAGCTTCACGAAAGCTTTCGAATCCAGTAGCGACGTTTGGATCGTCATCATTCATCACCGCAAATTCCCTGTGTTCTGTTGATACATGAGGTATGGGAAGACGATATTTCGATCTCCCACACCCACAAAAGCCTCATATTTTGGTTGTTGGCCTCGCGCTTACGCGTTTGTGGGCAATAAACGTTGCACTGAGTCTAAAACCACAACAGAACAGTTTCCGCGAAAATTCATGAGCATTAATTGTTTGGCACATTTGAGGAGAGGTAGTGGGCTCCCCGACACGAGGATAGAGAAGGTAAATCTGAGTGTCATTTTTGTTTCATGTGCACGTCAGTGTATTTGGAATCCGGTGTGACCAGTCCCTCTGAGGTTTCATTCACTTATTAACTCGTTGCTTAAACGCAAATCGGAGATGAATTTCCGCTTGTTGAGAACACTCGTGAATTATTTTCGTTTCGTTGATGAAAACTTGCGTTGTTTTCGGTGTGTCAGTAGACGCCGCTTATTGGTTTTGTCCATTTATTTGGTAATTGTTCACTCATGCTTGTGGTACCACTCGTCCGCAGAGCAATAACAAACAGTTTCACGGCCTATTCAATAAGAGTAAGTCACTGTTTGAACCCACTTCATGGAAGAACTTCCATTGTATACTAGATCCATGTTGCATCGCAAAGGTATCGTTGAAAAACACGAGGTCAGGAATTCTGTAACTTGATGATGACGAAGAAGGCTAAGCGGGGAATTGTTGACCAGAAAAGCGAAAATCTTGCCCAGATTTCTGGAGACGAACCGAGCTAATTTGAACGTCGACGCAGAATTTGAATCGGTCACGAACATCGGTGATACGATGGATAATGAATTGATGTCGAAGGGATTTGTGCTCCTC